CCTGAGAGTTAACTGTCATACATCATTGATTCTAAGACATATTTTCCCACATTATAACATGTCTGAAATAGAGATTCATTTTACCAAAAAGAAATGCTATGTTATAGTTTAACTGACGTTTCACATTTCTTTGTGGTTATAATAATGCTGAATCTTTTAAGCAATGACATCTTAGATTCAATGAAATATGGTATATGCCAGGTAGAATCTGTGCCAAATGGTTTACACACGTTAAGTAATGTTCATATACCCACGTTACAAGTGATGAAATTGAGTTTAGAAAGATTAGAGTAACTTGGCTGCTTATACCATTAAAAAATTGTAGCATGAGAACTCAAGTTTAAGACGGTCTGACTTTAGAGCAAGCCCTTGCTCTAGCCGGACTACACCATCTTATACAGGACCAAGAATTAAGAAGTGTGCAGAACCAGATCAGCTTCATATAAAGATAAATGTCAGGTGCTTAGGAAAGCCTATTTGACACTTTTTTTTAAAGGTCTGTATTAAGAAAACACAAAAAGTTAAAAATCTATTTTTTAAATTACTTTGATCACAGTCAGTGGTGTGCTGGTAAATATTTAACAACTGGTTTGAGGAGGGATAGGAAGGGTAAATCCTAATTTGTAGTGTTCGCTGATTTTTAGAGTGTAAGTATTCTCATTGTGGCAGATTTCAAGATACCAAAGCGAAACAACTGGCTTACAAATTTCTTGAATAGTTAGTTAGTCCTGGCAAGCTGTAGGAGGCAGCTCCAGGGCACCACTGCCAGTAAATGTTGACTAATGATGAAGAAAACATTTTATCTCATGATCATATCTTATAAAATCTTACTTGCAACATTAATTCAAATTGACTGGGAAAGAAGGACGAAAAAACAATAAAATTATCATAAAACACATATAACAATATGGTCGCCTGTTTAAAGGGAGGGTGTGCAGAGGGAATAATAAATCTGGACAGGATATTTGTCTCCAAGCATATATTGAGCTTCTACTGTGAACCTGGCACTTTCAAGTCTATAAATAAACAGCATGAATGTGGTGGTCAAACCTTAAGGATTTTCTAAGAGAGAGGGGGAAAAAAAGCTCAATAAGGAAATTCAGAGTGTATTCTAAATTTGAGAGTGTTGCACATAATAGCAAAGGCTGAGAAAGAATGCCAAAATTTTTAAAAGTTTAAAAGAAAAAGAACCATGAGGAGGAAATAAGTTTTAATTTCATAAAACAAGAACCATTAAATTTAGAGAAAATAATTTCACACACTAAAATTGGATAAATAAAAATTCAAAGATAGTCTGCTGTGATATGCAAGTTCCAACTGGATAATGTGTTTACAAGATGACAGGCCAAAATGCCAGGACATCTAACAGAAGACTTAGCCAGGACAGTAGAAGTCAAATTCCATTACATAGGCTCTAAGGAACTACCTATAGACTTTTGTTGTTCTAGAATTTTCTCAGTTAAATATTGCTTGAAATTTGTAGGGTGTTGGTTGCCTTTGTAAAGCAAAAAATAATCCTGTTTGAAAAGTGGTATTTATTTTAACTGAACAACTAACACTGAGCACGTTTTGTATCTCTCCACATCTTTGTTTTCAGAACGCACATCCACACCGAAAAGTATATTAATTTGGGTCAAGTATACGAACCTGAGTCTCTAGGGCTCTATGAACAGACCTTCCTAGACAGAGTCTCCTGCCCTCTGCTCTGGGGCTTTTCAGGAAACACTTTGATGTCCTCAAAACAGCTCTTAGTTAAACAGAAGTTGATCAGAGAAGGAACCAAGAAAAATTTAGAAGGGATTCACTTCCTCCTTCACCTCGCCTCTCCATGCCCTCACCTCTGTGTGGTAAGACTCAGAATATCCTTTTCTTCCTAGTTAAAATGCACTCATCCTCCAGACGCAGTTCAGGTGCCATCTTCTTGATGTAGGCTTCCCTGACAACTCCCGGTCACAGCAATCTCTCCAGACCCAACCGTGGTTGCCTGCACCACTTTCTTTTGGTATCTCATCAAATGGGGCCTGTTTTGACTCACTTGTGTTGACAGATATGTCTTGTCTGCCCAACAGCCCTGAGAGCAGGCAGGATCTGCATTGTGCATCATTTATATACCACCCACTGGAGTGCTGGGACATTCCTTCTTTTCTTCTTTCCTCCCTTCTACAAACGTTTATTAGCTAGCTACCTGTTCATCAAGTACCTTGCTAGGCACTGAAGAAAGAAACAAATGTGAATAAACCACAGTCCCTGCCCTTGAGTCCTTTTATGATCTCACCCCTCTTTATCTCTTCAGCCTCTCAACACCATTCTTTCAGCTCTAGACAGGCTAAAGGCTACTCAGTTCTCTACATATACTATGTCCTCTCCCCTCCAGGGTTTTGAGCTGTTTCCTCTGTGTCTAAGAATGCTTTGCCCTCTCTGCTCCCATTATATCCTCCATCTAGTTTATATCTAACACCTACTCAACCCTTCTGGTCTCAGCTTAGATGATACTTCCTCCAGGAAGCCCTCCTTGGTCCTCAAAGCGAGGTGCCCTTCTTATGTGCTCCAATGAACTGTTCCCAACATTGCACTTTCAAAACAGAGTTATAGGTGCCTGTTTATTTATCTGTGTGTATCACTAGAGTCTATTATCTACTTGTACAGATCTGTGTTTCTTTTGTGTATTAGATATGTGTCATCTGCATGTTTAGCTCCTGGCACCTAGCAGGTATTTTTTAAAAAAAGCATTGAATGAATGAATGAATGAATGTCACAAAGGTAAACAGGTTACTATCCCTACCCTTGAGGACATCACCATCTAGTGGGGGAGACACAAACGCAAACAGATAAATCATCAACACAAGATGCTAAGTTTCAAAATAGATACATGGATAAAAAGCTGGGAGGTGGGGTGGTCCAAAGTGACTGATTCTGCCTGCGGAAAGCAGGTCCTTTACCAAGGAGGCAATATTTGAGCTGAGTTTGAAGGATTTCCAAGTGTACTGGGTAGAGAAGAGGCATATAGCAGATGCTCAGTAATTACTTTAGAATGTTCCAGCAAACCTCTGTGCAGGTCTATACTAGCCTTGAAAGATTCAAACCTTCCAGCTGCCTTTTGGTGCAAGAAAGAAAAGAATAGAGTACAGCCACAAATGAAGGATTCAACTAATTAGGACAGTGGGAAGGGCAGTATTTGTAAAAAGATGCAAAAACGCAAGTGTCAAATATAAATCAAATCAGAGGTTTCTAGCAGGACTATTATCCCTGACTACATCTATTGGAAAGAAACTGCAGCAAGAAGAGTGAAACACTCAATCGCCTGATGCCAATCAGTGTAAGGAGGAGAAATTAGAAGGCTTGAGAGAAGGAAGGTTTCACTAAACACATAAGAGAAAGCTCCTCAGCTATGGAATCTATAGTCTGTGAAAGTTTTATGGAAGAGGAACAGAAAGCCAACATTCAACACAAATCTAGCCTCTAATGGAAACTGTCAAGCATGTCACGTGGAGCTGGGTCAGATGAGCACGTTATGACTCCCACAGACCCTTGTCCTCTCCCTGCAGCCCTTCTGGCTGCAAGCAAGATGTGAAAGTGGTATTAATGAAGAAAACGAGCAAAAGGACACTCTTCTCGCTTTTAAGCAAACTAAGAAATTTTGATTAGTCCTTAATTTCTAGAGGAAATGAAATTTGAGGAAGTTTAAAATCACTCAGGCCACTGCTCTAGACTCACCCCGGACCACGGTGTCACGTTTCGCATTCTAGAAACAGCTGCGTGTGTTCCTCTGTACACACAAGTTATTGATGTTGTTTCCTTTGCCAGGATTACTTTCTCCCCTCCCCCTTCTACCATTATCAATCGGCTAAAATCTATTCCATTTTCTAGACTCAGCTCAGACACTACATCCAAAAAGCCGTTTTGGAATGCGAAGTCTGCAGTATCTGTTCCCCTCTGTGGCCTTCTAGTATTTTTATCTGCTCTGTCTTGGTAACCCACCACCTCCACCAGCCCGGGGTCTTATTTATATTTCTGCTCATGGGGCCTCCAGCCATTCCTGGCACCTAATGAGCACCCACAAAATAGTTCTCAAATACATGAACAAATTAAGGAATATATTAAAGTGCTACTGGAAGATTAACTAAGTAACCTGATTAGAGCTGGGCCTCAGGAAGACAAAGCTGGCAGCAGTGTGTAGGATGACTGAAGTGGGAAGACAGCAGAATCAGAAGCAAGAAGAATCCAGGGGCTATAAAAACAGCTCGGGCTAGAGGTCATGAGGCTCTGGATGAAGGAGGTGGTAATGAGGATGGAAATGAGGGGATCAATCTGAGGGACATTTTGGAAGTCAAATCAGTAGAATTTGGTGGCTGGCGGGTGAACAAGGAGGGGGGAAAAAAGGAATATTTTTAGTTTTTCTGTTATTAAGTAGTCCAAGAGAAGAATAATGCCATTAACAGAAAGAAAGGAGTCTGGAATAAGAGTGACTTAGGGGCAGTGGAGGAGGGGAGAAAGACGACAAGAAGCTAAAAAATATCCAGAAATAAAGTGACTGAAGGGGAAGACAGGAGGCTGCAGCTTCACTGAAGCTAAGGTCTGGGAAAGCCTTAAGGAAAGAGTGCTCCAGAGGGCAGACACGATACCAAAGTCAAGAAAGATGTTGGCCTCAGCTCTCTCAGTTCACAAATCCCAAGGCAATGGCTTTTTGGACTTAGGGTCCCAGATTTAAATATAACTCCTTCCAACTGTTTGCCCTTCTCCTAACCTGCCCTTGATCTTCCACTATGAAAACCGCTGGCTGGAACTTATCACTCAACTACTAAACGACCCTGGGGATACTCTTTGATTTCATAGAATCTTTTAAGGATCTATGTCAGTTGTGCCCAAAATAAGAAAACAAGAAAAATTTGGTCAATTGGGGTATATTTTTATGTTCAAATGAAACCAAAAGTATTTAAACAATTAAAAATGCCCAGGTACTTGGTCTTATCTCTTCTGAAATATCCTAGAGAAAAAGGATATCAGAGAAATAAACATGCTTTTATTTAAACAAGACATATGGAGCAGAAGAAGTTTCCTTCATGAAAAGTTTCTCTTGGTTACTTAGGTCATATTGTGTCAGGATTAGGTTCAGCTACAATAACAGAAAACCCTAAAATAACAGTAGCTGCAACATGTAAAGATTTATTTTCTCCTGTAAAACAAGTCCAGATGTGATAGTCCATGCTTGACATGGCAGCTCCACGAAGCAAAGGAGACCCAGCCTCGCATCTTCACGCTCCATCATGGTTCAAGTCACTTCACTGTCTAACACGGATGCTGGAGCTACAGCCATAATGTCACATTCTAGGTAGGAAACAAGAAAGGGGAAGGAAAGACCAAGAGAGTTTTCCTCAGCTGTCTGTTCCTCTTTTAAGTAAACTTCCTGGAAATCCCTCCCAACAATTCTAACAATTTGTGCTCCATCTCATTGGCCAGAACTTAGTCATATGGTACACTCAGAGTCAAGAGAGGCTGGGAAATGTGGTTTGTTTTAAAATTGGAGCATGTGCCCCAGTAATATAGGCATCCCCTTGGCAAAGAAAAAGGGGGAATGGATAATGGGCAACTAGTAATCTCTTCCACAGATGCCAATTCTCATTGTTTTAAATATGGTGGCTTATTGACCTGACAAGTCCAAAACGCATTAAGGTCAAGGAAACGGAGACTTACACGTGGAATTAAAAACAAAAAACAAAAACAAGTTCACAGACACAGACAACAGATTGGTGGTTGCCAGAAGCGGGGTGGGGTGGTGGCGGATGAGTGAAGGGGATGAAAAGGTAAAACTTCTATTTATAAAATAACTAAGTCACGGGGATCTAATGTACAGCATGGTGACTACAGTTAATAATACTGTGACGCATATTTGAAAGTTGCTAAGACAGTAGGTCTTAAAAGTTCTCACCATGAGAAAAAAAAATTCTGTAACTATGTGTGGTGATGGATGTTAACTAGATTTATTGAGCTGATCATTTTGCAATGTAAAGAAATACCGAATCATTACGTTGTACACCTGAAACATATAACGTTATATGTCAATTATATCTCAAAAAAAAGTTATCAAGAGCACACACCCACAAATAAGATGATGAAGACTAAAAAGCACTAGCATTTACATATGTTAGCTAACTATGCTAATGTCATCTTTTCTTACGCCATTATAAAGTAGATTTTGGCCCAACATAAATATTGGAAAATATTGAAAATATATTTCTTATATTCAAAGCAGCAATAAAACACAAGGTTTAGCACAGTTAGTTCCTCATTTCATAATTGGTAAATGCCAGCAAAAAGGGAACTCTTCTTTGCCTTTCTAAAAAGTTTCTCCTTCAGCCAGAGATAAAGACAAAGATTGCCATGGCTAGCCTCTGTGGTAACCTGCTTCTGGAGAGAGGTTACAAGTTTTCTGCCGAGGAAGTAAGAGTCTGGCTGTTCTGCAAGCTGGATAATCACTTGTGACTTCAGACCTACTAAAATGCAATCACCTCTTCTTAGCCTTCACTCCCTTTAAATTCTTCATCGAATTCAACACAATAGATTCACCTGTCCGTGAAATTTTCTTCTCCCTCCGTTGGCCTCTGTGACATGGGCCTGCTATGTATGGTTGCCTTCTTTGACTGCTTCTTTTCAATCTCCTTTACCAAAGCTTCTTCCTCCATCCACCCCTAAAAACAATAGTCCTCCCACCTTGTTTCCCAGGCCCAATCCTTCTCTCACCCCATGTAGAAGCCGGTGGCATTTTCATCCCTTCCCTTCAATACAACTTCTGTGCCTGACTTCCCCAGGGAGGTTCCAGCTTTGGCCTCTCTAATTCTACACTTCTATCTTCTGTTAATAAAAAACCTTTTTTTTAAAACCTAGTTTTTCCACAGGCACTTCAAATTTAACGAATCCAATACTGAATTCATCCTATGGCTGTTTGCCCCCAAATCCATGCTTCCTTTTCTGTTCTCTGTCTTCACTGCTGACATGACACTCCCATCTCTCCAGTTCTTTAAACTGAAGGCTTGGACATCATCTTGGGGCTCATCTTCCCTCCTCCATCCATATCTAATCATGCACCAAAAGTCCATTGATTTGGCCTTCAGAGTGGCCCTCCCTTCTCACTGTCATTCCTTCTCATTCGGAATACTGCTATGACATCTTGAGGTGTCTCTCTGCCTTCAGTCACGCCACACACTGCTATCCCATCATATCCTACTTCTTCTAATAAAAATCTTCAGTTGGCGATACCTTGCACACAGAATAAAACTCAGATTACACTATTTGGACTTCGAGGTTCTCTATTATCTGGAACCAGTCTGTTTATCATTGTCCATACATCTTCCCCACTACTACTTTTCCACAGGAGAAGCCTAGAAAAAAAATCAATCTCGCCCTTATTTCTCCCACAGCCCTTTATGACTATCAAAAGTCACCCATGGTAGTCATCACACTCTGCTTTTTGTTCGAGTTATTTGTGTTTGTCTGTTTCCCCAGCTAGATAGCGAGTCTCTGGAGGGCTCATCCTTATCACCTCTCTGTGTTGACCACAGCACCTTTAGTTCTAATAAGAGATATTATCTTCCATGGATGTTTGCTGAATGAAATCTAGTTGTATACAGCCCTTGCATCCGGCTCACACTTTAGTTCAGACTTCAATTCAAGGATGACGCTCAGCAAAAGTAGGAGGTAAAGTTTCAGCATCCCTCCACCCCCTTTCTCTGCTCTCCTTTCACTTAGAGATGCTCAGTGCCCTCACGTTCACCACTGCCCACCCAGGCCTCTTACTGGGGTGCCTACATAGGCCACTCCTCTTGAGCAAATTCAACTCCCAGACCTTTTCCTTTCCAGTTTCTTACCAAAACCTACACATCCCTGGGATGGACTTTAGAGTCCAGTCTCTTCATTTTCTAGATCAAGAGACTGAGGCCCAGGAAGGAGACATGGATTGCCCAAGATTGCATCAAGCAGAGCTGAGATGGACCCCAGGTCTCCTGACTCCAAGTCCATCACTCTTTCTTTCACACTTTCCAGCCCATACTGTGTCTCAACACCTTCTGCCTCAGGGTGCTGTTGGCAAGGACCTGCTCAGTAAGCATCTCTCTCTTAACAACGTTTATCAGTGCTCTAACTCACAATAATGGACCCTGGATAGAGTTCACATTAGTACCCTTCTGTGATTATTTTGTTCACAGTGCTTTTCCCAGCTCCTGTATTCATACCTCAGAGAGACGCTATCTATGCTGGGATATGTAAAGCCTGCACATTTTCTGCAATGCGCTTTCTCATGACTGTGTGGTTAGTGATATTCACTGTCTAACACAATCCTCCCACACTCCCCAGAAACCATGGCAGCAGAACTCCAGAAGCCTCCCCCCACCTCCCCGCAGCTTTACAACTTCCTGGGGGAAGAGTTCAGTTCATGAATGTGTTGTAATTTCTGTGACGGGTATCTAAAGTTCTTAAAAGCAGTAATGAATGAGCCTTTTCAATACCACTTGGAAGGAAGTCAGGGACTTCACCATTGAAACTGAGTAGTAATGAAATTCAATGGCCTGCACAGAGGAGATATATGAATGCCTCAGGACAGAACAAAGGCCAGCTGAATCAGCCAAGGGCTGTTACTTCCACAAAATGGATCTACCTGAATAGGAACTTGAACAGTTTTCAAGGAATGACATCTTATCCTTCCAAAAAGTATCATGTGTTTGTTATTCATCCTGTAAAACTAAGAATCTAAATTAAATTTTATTCTAGTTTGGTATCAGTGTAGTGTTTTTGGGTTTAATCATCAGGACTGGATGATCTGAGCAAGCACTGGATCTTTTCAGAAGGAAAAGGGGAGCACTGGAAGCCTGCCTTTTCTGTAAGCTTTGATTATAGGTCTCTGAGGCTTACGGAAAGTTACAGCACATCCAATCCAACCATATATTTTTAGGTGAAGAACTGATCTCTGTTAACCTGATAATATAGAAATTATCTTATTTTGTGAAAATCCTTCTACTCTAGAAAAAAGAATTAATGGAGTAGAAACCTGGGCACTAAATTATAGTTGTTAGTAGGACTAAGTGTGTGTCCAGGCCTGACAGAAACGAATGCTCTGGACTTCATCTATTTGCTTTCAACTTATTTCTGTCCCATTTTCTGTCACACAACATGGATGACCACTTCAGGTTTCCTTTGGGAAGCATATGAGTGTCTATAGTGCTTTGGGCTAACATTAAAATAATTCCCTTTTTTGGTTTTTACTTTTCAGAAAAATAATTTAAATGGACTTCAAGAGTCTTCTCAGGGACACAGATAAATTTCTTTATTAAAACAATTGAGATAAGACAGACTCTTGCTAGATGACATCGTGACTAACTGGACAATGTATGGGAAAGTAGTTTAAAAAATATAAAGTGCTTTGTTAAAGAAGCGGGTTATTCTATCTAATTTATGCACACATTCTATTCAGTGTATTCCTTCAGCAAATACTTACAAGCACTACGTGCTGGGTCCTACACTAGATACTCTGGATATAGTCTGTTCCTGATCCTGGCAACCCTCCACCCCCACCCCAACAAAACAAAACAAACAAAAAACAACTAAGTAAGATTCCCCTGTTATGTTCTGTCATAGCACTTCGCACTTTTTTCCTGCCTAGCATTATTACAATTTCAGTTAAACAGCTGAGTAATTAATTGCTTACCTGTGTCAGGCATTAGAATTTTAGCTTCATGGGAACAAGTATTTCACCTCTTTTGTTCTCTGCTTTACACTCAGCGCCTAGCGCGGCTGGCATAAAAAAGACGAGCAACAAATATTGAATGGATGGATGAACGAATGAATGAAAAATCAAACGGATGTCGAAAACAGAGTATAATGCAGTGTAACACGTACTGTATGAGGCGTGCACAGTACTATGAGAATTTACAGGAGGAGCACCGAAAGCCAGCCTTGACAGGGCTGATTTCCAGGAGAGAAATTAATCTCTTCAAACTCCGAGACTCGCAGGATACCGTCCCCCACTGGCCTGCCACTACTTGAACCGGGCTTATTCTCTGTGACATGTCAGGATCGTGCCAACGTGAGGACGTCAATGAGATTGGTGAAACGACTCAGAGGCCGGCGCGGACAACGTCCAATTAGGTCATCTCCGGCTAAACGCCAGAATGAATAAAGGCTTCACCCCCAGCTGGATGCACAGAACCGGGACTAAACTCTTCCCCCGCCTCCTCCACGTCGACGTCGCACCACGGACGGCTGGTCACGTGACCCGGACCGCTCCAGCCCGGGCGCCTGGGCCGTCCTGCGCCTGCGCAGTGCGCCGGGGCGGCGGACCGAGCGCGCTGACAGCTTCCGGTCCGGTTTCCCCGCCCCTGCCTGGCTGAAGCTGTGCGGGCTCGGCGGTGGCGGCCGAGGGGTGGCGGGGGGCAGGGCGTGGGCCGGTGAGGGGACTGCCCGAGCGGGTTCCCCAGAGCCATGGCCTGCTCAATTGTCCAGTTCTGCTACTTCCAGGACCTCCAGGCCTCCCGGGACTTCCTCTTCCCTCACCTGCGGGAGGAGCCCCCCAGCGGCGCCGTGCGGAGGGACCCCAGTAAGTGCCCCCGCCTCGCCGCTCCCTTCCCCGCTCTGCTTGGCGGATTCGGGGCTCCTGCCTTTGCCCCCTGCGCCTTCCCTCTTCGCTGCGGGACGACCCCCTGCCCTTCTCGTCCTAAAGCTCGGTCCACCCTGGCAGCGTCGGTGTTGTCTTCCTCTCGCCCCAGCTTTCTCCGAAGCCACTCCGCCCTTTGGCCAAAAACTGCGTCTTGCTTCCTCTGGTCTCTGTCTATCCCACTTCCCTAGCCCCCCTCCTAGCTTCGTCTCCGAGTCTCCTCCGCCCTCCATCCCGGGGTCGCCTGTTCTCCGTGATCGCATCCTCCTCTCCATTCCTTGCCAGCTGTCAGCGCTCTACCCTGGTATTGCCTCAACCCCCACTCTCCTCCATCCCTGGGACTGTGGCCTTCTGCGACCTCCTCTTCCGAAAGTGTTTATCTTCCCCCACAGTCTCCCTTCTTCTAGCCCTTCCCCCCCCCATTCAGATTTAGAGACTAAATGACGGATTGACAAGTGACTCTTAAGGGGGGTGAGTAAGCGTCTCCCAAATAAGGAAAATAACCTGTCAGGGAGTGAGCAAGAGACTACATCAGGAACTAAAATTACAGTAACATGGCCATGAAAAGTTAATTTGCTTTACTGGGATGAGAAGCCTTCCACCTATTATTATCATCAAAGTGTTAAATAAGCCCTTGCTCACGTAGTATAAAATCCCCCATCTGATTTATTAGGTTCTGCATAGTTCCTGAGAAGTTCCTACATTTCTCCTATTGAAAGGGTGTGTGTTTTGTGTTTATTGGTTTCTTCATATTTCCATTCTGAAGCACCTCTTTGGCTTTGGAGTATAGTGCTGTCATTTTGTGTTATACTGGAATGGTGACTTTTATCCCACTAAATAGGCCCCTCCCCCTTTTTAAAATTTGGAAGAAATCCAATCAAAACTATGAATTTTTACTCTGCCAATCAGTAGGGCTGTGTATCAAATAAGGTTGGTGGTCTCTGCCCTCTAGGATCTTATAGTTTGCTGGGACAAATAAATTAACAGCTACTAGGCAATGTGATTGAGATATATATAGACAGAGATATAGATATAGATATATGAGGCACTAGGGGACAATTCCTTGAAGTGGTGATACTTAAGCCTACCTTTAAAGTAGTAGTTAGATGGGTAAGAGAGAGGTAATAGCATGCGCAGAGGAACGGAGGCCTGAAATGGAATGATATTTAGAAAACTAAGGAAAGCCGAATGGCTGAGTAGGAGGATGTGAGGGAAATGTTAGGGAGGATAAGACTGTAAAGGTGGTAAGGAGCTCCATCTTGAGAAGCTTTGTGAAAGTAGTGGGGTGCCTCTGACAGACTTTAAGCAGAGAAATGACGTGGTCAGATTTGTACTTCATATGATCCCCAGAGTTTTTGAATACCTGTTATATGCTTTCGCAGAAGTGTGAAGGAAAGAGAGGAAACAGGAAAATTGGTTGGGAGGTTTCCAATAACCCGTGCAAGAAGTGATGTGAGCTTGAACTAAGCCTCAGCGGGACTTGAGAGGAAGGGCTAGATTAGAAAGATATTAAGGAAGTAGAATCTGCAGGACCTAGTGAAGATCAGGTGATGGGGTTGTAGCTGGTGAGTGAGAGGGAGTTGAGGGTGCCTTTGGCTTTTGGCTTGGGCCACGGTATATACTGAGAGAGAATGAAAGAGATAGGTATTGGACGCATTTTAAATGTCTGTGGTATGTCCAAGTAAGGGGACCAGTCGAACGCTAGATAAAAAGGTCTAAAACTTAGTAAGGATCCCTGCCCAGAGGTGTTAATTTGGGAGTGACCAGCAAAAAGTGTGAGTTCAGTTTCAAGGGTTATCTAGTAAAATGAACTGAGTAGTGAAGATGTAACCTTGGAGGAGCTCTGAAGTTTAAGAGTCACGAAGAGATTAATGGGAGGAAGACTGAGAAACGGTATCAGAAAGAGGAAAACGAGGTGAGAATAATGCCCCAGGAGTCAAAGGAGGAGAGAGTTTGATGACAGGGAAGAGTGGTCAGCAGTTACCAATGCAGCAGAGATCAGCTTAGATAAGGTAGAAAAGTGCTTGGTTTTGGGAAAGAAGATGTGACTGGGACCTCAGGACAGTTTCGGTGGAATGGTGGGAGTAGAAAGCATATTGATAGGATATTGAGGAGTTGAAAAATGAAGTTGACTTTCAAGGAGCCAGGTTGTAAAGATAGTAGGTGTAGGACTGTAGACGGGGGATGTAGAGAAAAAGAACACATTTTCTCTGTCCCACAGCCACTCCCCCGGTCCAGGTCACCGTCGTCTCTCACTTGGGCAATGGCACCGGTCTTCTTCTAACAGATCTTCCTGCTTCCACTCTTGGTTTTCTGTAATTAGTTTCCAAAAGCGGTCAGAGTGAGCTTTCAAAGACAATTTAGATCATCACACTCCCCCCTTTGTAACCCTCTGTGGCTTTCAATTACATTTAATATAAAATCCAAAGTTCCTATATGGTTTACAAGGCCCTTGAGGCCCTGCCTCCTGCCACTTCTTGCATCTCATACTCCTGTCCCCTTATTTCTTATGCTTCAAGCACACTTTTTTGATGTTAAGCCAGCCAAGCTCATTTGCTCCTGAGGCCTTTGCCCTGGTCCCTGTCTCTGCCTTGGATGCTCTATGCAGATCTGTGCATGCCAGCTGCATCTTGTCATTGAGGTCTCAACTCAGATGTCAGCATCTCAGAGAGGCCTTTTTGGTTTTTTTATTCTTTTTTAATTTTTTAAATTTTTTTTAAAGATCGGCACCTGAGCTAACAACCGTTGCCAATCTTTTTTTTTTTTTCTGCTTTATCTCCCCAAACCCCCCCATACATAGTTGTATATCTTAGTTGCAGGTCCTTCTAGTTGTGGGACGTGGGACGCCACCTCAACATGGCCTGATGAGCGGTGCCATGTCCATGCCCAGGATCCGAACCCTGGGCCACCGCATCGGAGCGCACGAACTTAACCACTCAGCCACGGAACCGGCCCCGCCTTTTTTTTTTTTTTCCCAAAGGTTTTACTTTTCCTTTTTCTCCCCAAAGTCCCCCGGTACATAGTTTTATATTCTTAGTTGTGGGGTCCTTCTAGTGTTGTGGCGTGTGGGACGCCGCCTCAGCACGGCCTGACAAGCGGTGTCATGTCTGTGACCAGGATCCGAGCCTGCGAAACCTAGGCCACCGAAGCGGAGCGCACAAACTTAACCACTCGGCCAAGGGGCCAGCCCCCAGAGAGGCCTTTTTTGACCATCCAATCTAAAATAGTCCTACCTCCTTGATGGAATTTGTTGCTTTCGATTGTATCATCTTGTTTATTTTCATCACTGTGTCTCTACTGTCCAAGATGGTAGTCTTGAGCCACATCTGGCTGTTGAATGCTTGAAATGTGGCAAATGCTACTGAGGAACTGAATTTTTAATTTTATTTAATTTAAGTAGCCAAATGTGGCTAGTGGCTACCATATGTGACACAGTTATAGATTCTAAAATTTAGGCATATACAGAATGAATACTTGTCGAAGGTCACACAGTGAAGGGTAGCCTTAGCATATGAACTCAATCCTGGCAGTTGGGAATGTAGTCATACCCTAGACATCTAGATTAATTTGCAGGATGCTTATGGGTTTGCAAATATGATTTAATTTAGTACCCTTTTAAGTCAAATTCTTAGGTTTATGTATGTTGGTATTATTATGGCTACCATCAGTTCAAGAAGAAAATAAATGGAGAAAGAACTTCTTAATCAGTGAGCCTCTTTGCCAAACCTGTATTTCACCCTTAAAATGGTGCTTTAATTTACACATAAAAATCAGAAAAATAGCTTGTCCTACTGTAGATAATTTACTTGGGATTCTTGGAATGACCAGGGCTGTGGATTTCAGCAGTCACCCCAGGCCATCTTTTACAAAACATCAGGTTTTGTAAAGAGCTCTTCCTTAAGAAAACCTGAACCTTAACTTTTGTGAGGGTGAAAATTTAGAGCGTAAAAATGAAGTTAGAGCAGGTAAGCAGGACCTGCCTTAAACTGCAGACGGTGTTTGGCTTTGCTGCTTCTCTTTATTTATGAGTGTGATAAGTGATTACGTTATTGGGAAGCAGAAATCAAGAGATCACTTTATTTTCCTAGCCTGTATAGTTTTAAATTCTTAGCCCAGCTCATCTCTAGGGGCTATGTAAAACCAAAAAAAGAAACCTCAATTACTTGTCATGAATTATTTGTCCTAGGTAAGTGATAATTTTGAAGGCTTACCTGTTGGTTTAATGATTCATTTATTTTAATGTGGATGGCTGCCATAGTGATACTTGGTACTTGGGCACCCAGGACTCTGTGCTACTCTCTTCTGTATTTGAATTGTCAGAGAATAACAGTATGACTTTATATTACTTTGTGTCTTCAATTATAAAAAGAGTCTGTCTTCTGTTGCTTTAAAAGAGATCTTGAACCTTACTAATTCCCAATGTTTAGTGATAACTATTAAAATTGTTTCTACTCAATCAAATGCTGTCTATTTCAGACAAAATTTAGTCTCATGCTTTGAAATATTAGAGATGGTAGTAGTGTGGGTCCCCACTTAATCTACGGTGACATAATTTCCAGTAAGACTCGATTTCTAGACCAGAGCTTTCTGATGTTAATAATTGAGTTGGGGAAAAAAAATACATGTACAAAGAGGGAAAATC